ACTTGTGTTACAGGAATAGGCTGCTGTTGTGACATGATGACAGGAGCAGACACTTGTGTTACAGGAATAGGCTGCTGTTGTGACACAGTGACAGGGGCAGACACTTGTGTGACAGGAATAGGCTGCTGTTGTGACTGGGTGGCAGGAGCAGACACTTGTGTTACAGGAAAAGGCTGTTGTTGCGACATGACAACTGGTTGCCGTTGCAAAACAAAGTGTTGCGATGGGTGGAGGCCTTGTAATTTAGCTGCTTCTTCCTGCAAGACACCAATAGATCTTTTCCTCTTTTGATGATACATACTCCACCAGCTATGAATTTGTGTCTCTTTAAGGACCTCCAAACCCCCGTTCTCTCATACAAGCAATTACAGCTTTCGGGTCTGCTCTGACACCACTTGATGCTTGTCGGTTGTAAAAGGAGATCATTATCTCCTTTTGAGCAAGTGAGAAAACCACCCTCTTGCCAGAGTTCCTCTTGAGCCCAAACCCCTTTGAAGGCAGATAGGCGTCAGGATCCTATCAGTATCAAGTAGCAATGGGAACTGCATTAGTTCAGGAGCATGATTTATGAACCGTATGCTGTATGCATCACCCTGGCAAGAGGTGCTATAAAGCTGCTCATCACTGCCTTGTGGTAAATCAGCGGACACAGATGCACCTGTTGACCCAGCCAAAGGTGAACACCTTGATGAAATTTTCCTAAGATGTTCTTTGGTCTTTGAAACTTTTCCAGTACCAGCCAATGAATGTGCTATTACTCCTCCTGCATATTCCCCTTCCAAAGGAAATACAAAGTTTCCAAACAAGGAAATTGTTGTGTATTAGGATCCAGATCCCCTCCCGGTTTAATGTATTAGAACCCAGATCCTCTCGGTTGTAGTGTCATGCACGAGCTGTCATCGCAGAATAAAGATATCGTTGTTGTTAGGTTCAATCCGGTTGAATCCTTTCTTAGCACTGACTAGTTCGGGACACAAAAGAAATGTCTTTGAAGGTCCCCATTTTCTTGGGAGCTTTGCTTCTATCAATGAACAACTGAAAACAGGAAATAATTTTCCATGCTCTGTAGGAGAAAAATACTTATAAAAAGAAATTATTCACTCCTCAGCACTAATTGATCTACTATGTTTACTGTGCAATGACACTGGCACATAGAAATAATTATGGATCACCCTCCCCCTACAAGTTAGCAGTACAGTCTGCCTCTACATTTAGCTCTACTCTATACTACAAAGGTGTAAAGCATTTTGTATAAGATCCTACACTGTCTTGGTCACATGATCAAAGCATATTTCAACATTCATTTCAACTTTTGATGCTAACTGCAAAATGTGTTTACATACAGTTACAGCGTGCAAGATGGAAGCATAGTTAAGATTGTCCTAAAAACTTGAATGTCACGCAAATTGTCCTCAACTCACTTGAGTGTTTACAGCTAGAGTAGGAAACCTGAAATGTGATAATCACCCTGCTTCAAATACATGGTGGGTGCAGTGGCCTCATGGTCAGTACACTCATCTCCAGATCGAGCGGTCCGGGTGCAGGCCCTGGCCAGGGACATTGTGTTGTGTACTTAGGCAAGACACTTCACTCTCACACTGCCTCTCTCTATCCAGGTGTATAAATGGGTACCAGCAAACTTAATGCTGGGGGTAACCCTGAGATGGACTAGCATCCCATCCAGGGGGGAGTAAAAATACTGCTAGTCACTTCATGCTACAGAAACCGCAATAAGCTCTGGCCTGATGGGCCACTTGGCTTGTATACAGACTTTACTTTTTTTGTTTTACTTCAAATACATGCACAAAGTTGTTGATGTTACAAATGTTATTCTTTGTCTTCAACAAATGACTCTCTTCCAGGTCCACTGCCCCAAGTGCTTTTTAAAATCATCACATTATAAAATGATAAACTCTCTTCGTCTACATCTTCATATTCATCATGAATATGAAAACAGCTGTAACATACAAAAGTTAAAATTGAGCAAATACACATTATATATTTACCTGCACAAGCTGCCCCAGCTCCTCACCAGTCTCCAAATCATTGCCAAGACGGACATAACGCACAATCTTGTGGCTTATGTGTGCGAAGTGGGTATCAAGAGCAGTTTTTCCTTCCCCAGCTTCAAAGTTGTTGTATTCTAAAAAATTTAGGTTGAATACCTCATTCACCTCACAAAGGTAGGCCAGAACAGCAGTATTGTGATAATGGAGACCATTGTCTGTAGATAGAAGACAAGTAAGAGAAACATGAAGAAGACAGCATAGAAATATTCATATTATCTTGAACAAGTGACCTCTAGAAAATTCTCATACCCCCACAAGTAGTGTTTGAAGGGTTCGCAACAGCAAATCTTAATTGACATATACAGTAATCATGTTGTGAGATCCCTTCAAGACCAAGGATTTACATTGTGATTCCCCCTAAATATTCTTCAGTGTAAAAACTTGGCCTATTCCTTATAAGTTACCTTTATGAAGTGAGAAGAGCTACAAGTAAGATGAGAATCTAAATTCTCCTTGGTGCCTTTTATACAATCTCTTCAATTCAGTGTGATTTTTGAAAAAATGAGGGATGTAAACAATGTCACCAACCACAGTTTTTGTTAAAAGAGCTTGCCTTGAGCATAATATGTTAACAAAGCGGGATAAAATAGTCCTGTACAACTAGCAACAAGTGTAGTCACTTAATGTTATTACTAGGTACAACAATAACTTGCATTTTGAAAGTGTGTTTCCTTACTCATGATAGCACCCCGGAAATTAATCCCTCCTTGGCAAATGATCACCCCTTTTCCCCCTTTTCTACCCAGTGCCTTTGCTTCAACTAAATTTATACTAGCAGAGTATGGGGACAAGGAATTATAAAATCTTAGACATGCAGTATCAAATTTGTGCAAAATAAAAATATCACCGATACATTGAGCATCATTGAATAAACAGTCCTATTTCCATCATGAAAATAAGCCTGTCCACATTTGAATAAGGATGATTAATTTATCCAGTGGCCTGGATAAGAAGTAATAAGAACGTGTTTATGCATAAAAAGTAAACTTTCAAACCAGAAAAGAGGTACACAGCAAAGCCCCGAAAGGTTCTTTTTAGCCAGGTAAAGCACATATCCAGCATACTCTGGGTAAAAAAGGCACCCTGTTTGGTGTCCTCTGACCACAAGTCAAAAACTTCACTGGTCTTCTCATTATCTGAGACTTTCGCCATTATGTAACATCCATGCAAAGAAATACCTCTCTTCCCATACCAGTCCATCTGGATTTCTCTCCTTCACTTTCCTAGTTCAAGTTTCATTTTGTAGTCAATTATCGTGACACACTCTCCAGGCTTCATATTCTTCACAACAAACTGGTAGTAGTCACCCTCATGTTTTGTTCATAGCAAATGTGACAAATAGTCATAAAGTGCTCCACACAGCTCTGTTAACCTTGGCTTCAGCTCTGTTTTGCTAGCATCTGGAAGCATTTCAATCTCTCTTAATAGAGAGCTGTATGTAGCACAGAAGGGTGAAATATCTGCACACATTGCTTTGTGGTCTTCTGAGCAGGCATCAAATGCATATGACATGCACAGTTCAAGACAGGGTGAATGTTTTTGTGCCAGTTTGAAAACTTGGTTTTCAAAAATGTTTGATAAACACGCACATCTTTTATCATAGATGATGTCTTCAGAACCGGACACATTGAAGATACCTCGTCAATAAGTGAACACAGTTCATCAAAATTACTGTGGCCAAAATCGTCGCAAAGATTACACAAACCTGCCAGCATTGTGTACATACAGAAATTGGTGGGCAAGTGGGTGTAAAGATATGTTCTCTTGACTGTATTAGGGAATTCCAGGAGGTACTGGTCCACAAGTCCCTTGATTGTATCTTGCCAGTACCTGACTGCTGTCTCCTCACCTTCCACCATAACACTACAGCATGATCATGCCCGTGAAACATCATCTCAATAGAGAAATCCAGTTAATTCCTCAAGTACTTACACACTGACATAATGGCGGGTGAACTTGTACTTGTCTGATGGAACACCTCCATGACCAAAAAGTATGCAATGCACCTTTGCCGCTATTATGGTTTTTGAGGAACACTGGAAACATCGCTGCAAGGTGGAATAGGAAAAGTCCATGGCAACAATTGACAGAAGCCGTCTTTTCTCATCAGGATAGCTTCGAATCCTGCCTAGATCTTGTGCTGCCTCAACATGGGACTTGAAGATGTCTGAGGTCATGCCACTGAAGGAGATTCTACTGCCTTTCAAACTGCCCCCAATCAGTACTCTCTGCTTCTGTTTAGTATAATATTTCCCAGGGCTGAATCATCGAGGCAAACAATTGGACTGGCTCTTTCTTCCTAAACAGAACCAACAAGGAGAAAATTAATTTCTCACTATTTCATTTATTGCAGACTGCTAAGCTCAAGGCTGATAACACTGTAATGTATGCTCAAAAATTACTTCAAAATATTTCGACTTCATTTTCAGCAATGTGCAATTATTCGCTTACCTCTAACTTGCTACACTTTTTTTCCAGCACAATTTTTCCTCAGCATGCCAGGCAGATTTTCCTCTTCCTATTTTTGTTTTTAGCAGTCATAATCACAGAAGCGAGCTTTATCTGGAGCCACAACACGAAAGCTGTCTGAAAAAATCTCTCTGTGATGCCATGTGTCGTGTTTGACACACGCATATTTACCCACGAACACCATTCCCAGAAAAAACAACAGCCAGAAGAAAAAACGAAAAATGGAATGAAAACTATATACACTTTTTATACTATATTGAATATCTACACTATTTACAATATCGACAAGCGAGATTTTTTGAGAGAAAGCCATGGATATCATCGATCAAAGATGGCGGTCTAGTTGAACTGACTTCGGTAACTTCCGAAAACCTAACTTCTGCACATTCCAATCTTTCGAAACTTCACCGAGTAGTAGAACAATAGACCCTATACCATAAAAGGAAGATACTTTGGCTAAAATCAACATATTTTTACCCACCAATTTCACTTTCCTGAAACAAACTTCATCGCACCTTAATTTACTTTTGATGCATTCGTTCTTTTTATTTTGATTCTAAATACATCCAAAAATTGCGTGATTTTGGTCATAGTGCACTGGCACCAGCAAGTCACATTGAATCTTTCTTGTTTGTTTTCCTACCTTTTGCCAAGCAAACTAAATAACTAATTAGGTTAAGAAAATCAAAACTTGTTCTCTACTTTTGTCATCTTTAAGCACTGTAGATGTGATTTGTCTTCAAAAATTAGTAACTGTATGCTGCTGGCTTTATTTTTCTTTGTACATGCATAAAGGACATGGAGTGGTCAGACAAACACGATAGAACTTTGTGCAGGGAAGTCTTGGTGAAAGAACCCTATCAGTACCCATACAGGAGCAAAGAAAGAGGGGATGTTTGGAACAACATTGCCATCAACCTAAACGGCCTTGATCATCCAAGATTCGAAGTTAACAAAAGATCAGTAAGAGACAGGTTGACTTTGCTTACTACTAAGTATACGGCAAAAGTATACAAAGAGGAAAATGCCTCTGCCATTTCGTGTGAGCAGTCGGAGCTAGACCAAGCAAAACAAATTCAAACTATTACCCAATGGGTCTTCACTTTTAACATGTTTGTCTCGCTTTTTTTGCAGTGAAGTTCATGAGTTAAACTCCGCAGTTGATGAAAATTAATACTGCAAGGTAACCCACAATTTAGCCTTAAGGCAGGCAATTGGGTGTAGTATGACAAACAATTTTGCTATGTATGGCAGTTGGCCTCAGATTGGTATCCTTGAGATCAAATCCCTTGAATTGTGGTTAAAGGTGTCCAATAATACTTTTCGCAAACAACATCCACCCACCAACAAACCGTGGTTTCGTTTGCAATTCTTACCCAAAGGCTAAACAAACTGATATGATATATCTATAGTTGAAAAAAAGAATTGGGACTTATGAGCAAATATCAATTTTTTTGAGAGCGCCGGCAATAGGTGCTATTTTTCCCATTTCAGCAAGCACGCAACTTGTGTAGAGCAAACCGAGCTTCAATTAATCCTAGAAAAATTCAATTAGAATTTTTAATCAAATAAAACTCATTTTCGTGACTGACCAGGTAAGGGCTTTGAAATCCAGCTTATAAGAAAAATCAAATTTTCAAAGTAAAATCAGTGGTCGGTTTTTACAGAGACAGCCTCTTAACTTTGTTGAGTGGGCGAGACGTGGTGCTGTCCTTGTGGTATAGTGACTCTACGCAGAACGCATTTTTTTCATTTCCAAGATGAGAAAAGGTAACAAAGAGAAAAAAAATCACTGATACTTGCTGGGAAAATAAAAAACGCAAAAAATGAGAGAAATGAAAATGAGTATTATTACTTGCTTTGGCAAGCGGACAAGAAGCGGTACTTTCGTTATAATTGTCTTGGTCTCTCGGACAAGGATAACACAGTCTCTCAGGCCGATAACTTCATGAATGTTTTAAATCTCCTCGTGTATTCTCTTACTGTTGCATTTTGCACTATTTCTTAACAATGCCAGTTGGCTTTAACTTTAACTGAACCTAAGGACTGCAGCCACAAGTACCTGATATGTTCTCATAATTGTGGCCTCTGAATACATCCTACTCATGGCTCTTCTACAGAGCCAGGAATAAAACCTTTCATAGGCATACATCCAAGTCCCATGCACAGGCCCAAATTTCTTAACTCCTTCTAGCAGATGATGCAGGATATGATTTGTTATAACCTTCAAAAACTTAAAGCAGTGCAAGTGAAGTACATGTATTTATATGATACAGTAATAATTGTTGCTATGTGTATGTCATTGTGCTCTCCCGATTCCTAATTTTAAATGCTGAACAAGCTGTGTAGTGTGTAGGGTATATTATATATTAAAGCAAATTACAACAAAGTGTGATGTGCCCAAGTGCACTGTCGAGTTGTGCATGTATATAAAGATATGCATTGAGAAGCATGAGGCAAGTGCTTCCAGTAGTTCTCAAGTGCTCTTAAAAATTCCCAAGTTCATAGATATCTTAGTGCCCCAAGGCAAGTTCTCTATTGCATTTTATAAAATGTTTGAAAGAAATTACACACTACAACTTACAACACAGTCATTTACATAAGCATGAAATATCAGTTCAAGAACTAGGTAGGACTTGATGATCGTTAATATACATGTCACCACGACTTTGATAAAAGTAGTGTTGAAAAACAGGTTGCCATACAGAACGATTTGGAGGGATTCATGTAATCAAAATAAAACAGACCAACTCCATGCTGTCTTTATTGTACCTGCAAGGATAATGGACAGTCTCTCTCCATTTGTACCAGTGAAAAACATCTACTTGTTCTTGCAATTCATCCAGCTTTCCTGCATTCTGTGAAGGAGCACAAAGTGCTGTAATGGCATCCACAAAGAGAATGATTGTTTCATGCTGTTCATCATCAAGCAATTTTTTAAAATACTTACACAGTATTTTAAGATATCACGCACAGCCACCTATGCCATGAAAATAGTGTGTTTAAGTCGACAAATGTTAACATCAACAATTATTGACTGTCCTTCCAGTAACTTAACTAGAAACACCCATGCATGCCACATGTAATACAACATATTTGTGCTGACATTCTTTTTATAAGAACAAAAAATCTTTTGAATTGCTATGAAAATGGTCTTTCTGCTTACCAAAATAATTTTATCAGGAATGTTCTGCAGCAACCTAGCATTTAAGGAGCCACCACTAATAATATTGTCCAATACATAGAAAATTTTTGTTTACTGAAGAAATATTACTATAACAAGCTACTGTACCACTGCCTATTGCTGTATTAGCCTCATTACTACAAGCAATAACTATTATATTTGATTAAGTTTAAAGATCAAGGACAGGAAACAAGATACCTCTTTCCACTCATGAGAGTTCATCCTTGACATTCTTGAAAAGATTGGCTTTGGTGAGTAGGGATCACCAGCTGGGACAGTTATTTGCCTTGCCCTCCTGTCAGCTTCTTTAAGCTGCTGCTTACTCAAACCAAATGGTGCTGGTGGCAATGAAATGGAATCTTTACTCTTCAATTACTTTTTACGCTGGCAATGGGGGTCAGAGGATTTTGAGGTACTCTCTGCAGTTTCTTTGCAGGTTGGCCAACACTCTGGAAATCTATTCAAGGACATTTCCTATTTACTCACTGCTAGGGAATCTTCTGGGGCCCTCCCTACCAGACATCAATGAAAGTGCTTCATCTCAACTGCAACTGTATGCATTGTATCTGGCATGGTTTGTTCCACCGTATCAAATACAGGCATTTTTCTTGCTAGTAGGTACATACCATGGCAGCCAGTANTATAAAATCTTAGGCAAGCAGTATCAAATTTATGCAAAATAAAAACATCACAGATACGTTGAGCATCATTGAATAAACAGTCCTATTTCCATCATGAAAATAAGCCTGTCCACATTTGAATAAGGATGATCAATTAATGACACCTGGGTTACTTATGTTTGGAAATTATGATTTTTGTAAACAGTAGCCTGGATAAGAAGTGATAAGAACATGTTTATGAATTAAATAAACTTTCATACCAGAAAAGAGGTACACAGCAAAGCCCGGAAAGGTTCTTTCTAGCCAGGTAAAGCACACATCCAATGCACTCTGGGTAAAAAAGGCATCCTGTTTGGTGTCCTCTGACCACAAGTCAAAAACTTCACTGCTCTTCTCATTATCTGAGACTTTCGCAATTACGTAACATCCATGCAAAGAAATACCTCTCTTCCCATACCAGTCCCTCTGGATTTCTCTGCTTCGCTTTCCTAGTTCAAGTTTCATTTTGTAATCAATTATCATGACACACTCTCCAGGCTTCAAATTCTTCAAAACAAACTGGTAGTAGTCACCCTGATGTTTTGTTCGTAGTAAATGTGACAAATAGTCATAATGTACTCCATACAGCTCTGTTAACCTTGGCTTCAGCTCTGTTTTGCTAGCATCTGGAAGCATTTCAATCTCTCTTAATAGAGAGCTGTACATAGTACAGAAGGGAGAAATATCTGCACACATTGCTTTATGGTCTTCTGAGCAGGCATCAAATGCATATGACATGCACAGTTCAAGACAGGGTGAATGTTTTTGTGCCAGTTTCGAAAACTTGGTTTTCAAAAATTTCTGATAAATACGCACATCTTTTATCATGGATGATGCGTTCAGAACTGGACACATTGAAGATACCTCGTCAATAAGTGAACACAGTTCATCAAAATTACTGTGGCCAAAATCGTCACAAAGGTTACACAAACCTGCCAGCATCGTGTCCATACGGAAATTGGTGGGCAGGTGGGTGTAAATATATGTCCTCTTGACTCCATTGGGGAATTCCAGGAGGTACTGGTCTACAAGTCCCTTGATTGTATCTTGCCAGTACCTGACTGCTGTCTCCTCACCCTCCACCATAACACTACGGCATGACGATGCCCGTGAAACATCATCTCGATAGAGAAATCCAGTTAATTCCTCAAGTACTTGCACACTGACACATTGGCGGGTGAACTTGTACTTGTCTGATGGAACACCTCCACGACCAAAAAGTATGCAATGCACCTTTGCTGCTGTTATGGTTTTTGAGGAACACTGGAAATATCGCTGCAAGGTGGAATAGGAAAAGTCCATGGCAACAATTGACAGAAGCCGTCTTTTCTCATCAGGATAGCTTCGAATCCTGCCTAGATCTTGTGCTGCCTCAACATGGGACTTGAAGATGTCTGAGGTCATGCCACTGAAGGAGATTCTACTGCCTTTCAAACTGCCCCCAATCAGTACTCTCTGCTTCTGTTTAGTATAATATTTCCCAGGGCTGAATCATCGAGGCAAACAATTGGACTGGCTCTTTCTTCCTAAACAGAACCAACAAGGAGAAAATTAATTTCTCACTATTTCATTTATTGCAGACTGCTAAGCTCAAGGCTGATAACACTGTAATGTATGCTCAAAAATTACTTCAAAATATTTCGACTTCATTTTCAGCAATGTGCAATTATTCGCTTACCTCTAACTTGCTACACTTTTTTTCCAGCACAATTTTTCCTCAGCATGCCAGGCAGATTTTCCTCTTCCTATTTTTGTTTTTAGCAGTCATAATCACAGAAGCGAGCTTTATCTGGAGCCACAACACGAAAGCTGTCTGAAAAAATCTCTCTGTGATGCCATGTGTCGTGTTTGACACACGCATATTTACCCACGAACACCATTCCCAGAAAAAACAACAGCCAGAAGAAAAAACGAAAAATGGAATGAAAACTATATACACTTTTTATACTATATTGAATATCTACACTATTTACAATATCGACAAGCGAGATTTTTTGAGAGAAAGCCATGGATATCATCGATCAAAGATGGCGGTCTAGTTGAACTGACTTCGGTAACTTCCGAAAACCTAACTTCTGCACATTCCAATCTTTCGAAACTTCACCAAGTAGTAGAACAATAGACCCTATACCATAAAAGGAAGATACTTTGGCTAAAATCAACATATTTTTACCCACCAATTTCACTTTCCTGAAACAAACTTCATCGCACCTTAATTTACTTTTGATGCATTCGTTCTTTTTATTTTGATTCTAAATACATCCAAAAATTGCGTGATTTTGGTCATAGTGCACTGGCACCAGCAAGTCACATTGAATCTTTCTTGTTTGTTTTCCTACCTTTTGCCAAGCAAACTAAATAACTAATTAGGTTAAGAAAATCAAAACTTGTTCTCTACTTTTGTCATCTTTAAGCACTGTAGATGTGATTTGTCTTCAAAAATTAGTAACTGTATGCTGCTGGCTTTATTTTTCTTTGTACATGCATAAAGGACATGGAGTGGTCAGACAAACACGATAGAACTTTGTGCAGGGAAGTCTTGGTGAAAGAACCCTATCAGTACCCATACAGGAGCAAAGAAAGAGGGGATGTTTGGAACAACATTGCCATCAACCTAAACGGCCTTGATCATCCAAGATTCGAAGTTAACAAAAGATCAGTAAGAGACAGGTTGACTTTGCTTACTACTAAGTATACGGCAAAAGTATACAAAGAGGAAAATGCCTCTGCCATTTCGTGTGAGCAGTCGGAGCTAGACCAAGCAAAACAAATTCAAACTATTACCCAATGGGTCTTCACTTTTAACATGTTTGTCTCGCTTTTTTTGCAGTGAAGTTCATGAGTTAAACTCCGCAGTTGATGAAAATTAATACTGCAAGGTAACCCACAATTTAGCCTTAAGGCAGGCAATTGGGTGTAGTATGACAAACAATTTTGCTATGTATGGCAGTTGGCCTCAGATTGGTATCCTTGAGATCAAATCCCTTGAATTGTGGTTAAAGGTGTCCAATAATACTTTTCGCAAACAACATCCACCCACCAACAAACCGTGGTTTCGTTTGCAATTCTTACCCAAAGGCTAAACAAACTGATATGATATATCTATAGTTGAAAAAAAGAATTGGGACTTATGAGCAAATATCAATTTTTTTGAGAGCGCCGGCAATAGGTGCTATTTTTCCCATTTCAGCAAGCACGCAACTTGTGTAGAGCAAACCGAGCTTCAATTAATCCTAGAAAAATTCAATTAGAATTTTTAATCAAATAAAACTCATTTTCGTGACTGACCAGGTAAGGGCTTTGAAATCCAGCTTATAAGAAAAATCAAATTTTCAAAGTAAAATCAGTGGTCGGTTTTTACAGAGACAGCCTCTTAACTTTGTTGAGTGGGCGAGACGTGGTGCTGTCCTTGTGGTATAGTGACTCTACGCAGAACGCATTTTTTTCATTTCCAAGATGAGAAAAGGTAACAAAGAGAAAAAAAATCACTGATACTTGCTGGGAAAATAAAAAACGCAAAAAATGAGAGAAATGAAAATGAGTATTATTACTTGCTTTGGCAAGCGGACAAGAAGCGGTACTTTCGTTATAATTGTCTTGGTCTCTCGGACAAGGATAACACAGTCTCTCAGGCCGATAACTTCATGAATGTTTTAAATCTCCTCGTGTATTCTCTTACTGTTGCATTTTGCACTATTTCTTAACAATGCCAGTTGGCTTTAACTTTAACTGAACCTAAGGACTGCAGCCACAAGTACCTGATATGTTCTCATAATTGTGGCCTCTGAATACATCCTACTCATGGCTCTTCTACAGAGCCAGGAATAAAACCTTTCATAGGCATACATCCAAGTCCCATGCACAGGCCCAAATTTCTTAACTCCTTCTAGCAGATGATGCAGGATATGATTTGTTATAACCTTCAAAAACTTAAAGCAGTGCAAGTGAAGTACATGTATTTATATGATACAGTAATAATTGTTGCTATGTGTATGTCATTGTGCTCTCCCGATTCCTAATTTTAAATGCTGAACAAGCTGTGTAGTGTGTAGGGTATATTATATATTAAAGCAAATTACAACAAAGTGTGATGTGCCCAAGTGCACTGTCGAGTTGTGCATGTATATAAAGATATGCATTGAGAAGCATGAGGCAAGTGCTTCCAGTAGTTCTCAAGTGCTCTTAAAAATTCCCAAGTTCATAGATATCTTAGTGCCCCAAGGCAAGTTCTCTATTGCATTTTATAAAATGTTTGAAAGAAATTACACACTACAACTTACAACACAGTCATTTACATAAGCATGAAATATCAGTTCAAGAACTAGGTAGGACTTGATGATCGTTAATATACATGTCACCACGACTTTGATAAAAGTAGTGTTGAAAAACAGGTTGCCATACAGAACGATTTGGAGGGATTCATGTAATCAAAATAAAACAGACCAACTCCATGCTGTCTTCATTGTACCTGCAAGGATAATGGACAGTCTCTCTCCATTTGTACCAGTGAAAAACATCTACTTGTTCTTGCAATTCATCCAGCTTTCCTGCATTCTGTGAAGGAGCACAAAGTGCTGTAATGGCATCCACAAAGAGAATGATTGTTTCATGCTGTTCATCATCAAGCAATTTTTTAAAATACTTACACAGTATTTTAAGATATCACGCACAGCCACCTATGCCATGAAAATAGTGTGTTTAAGTCGACAAATGTTAACATCAACAATTATTGACTGTCCTTCCAGTAACTTAACTAGAAACACCCATGCATGCCACATGTAATACAACATATTTGTGCTGACATTCTTTTTATAAGAACAAAAAATCTTTTGAATTGCTATGAAAATGGTCTTTCTGCTTACCAAAATAATTTTATCAGGAATGTTCTGCAGCAACCTAGCATTTAAGGAGCCACCACTAATAATATTGTCCAATACATAGAAAATTTTTGTTTACTGAAGAAATATTACTATAACAAGCTACTGTACCACTGCCTATTGCTGTATTAGCCTCATTACTACAAGCAATAACTATTATATTTGATTAAGTTTAAAGATCAAGGACAGGAAACAAGATACCTCTTTCCACTCATGAGAGTTCATCCTTGACATTCTTGAAAAGATTGGCTTTGGTGAGTAGGGATCACCAGCTGGGACAGTTATTTGCCTTGCCCTCCTGTCAGCTTCTTTAAGCTGCTGCTTACTCAAACCAAATGGTGCTGGTGGCAATGAAATGGAATCTTTACTCTTCAATTACTTTTTACGCTGGCAATGGGGGTCAGAGGATTTTGAGGTACTCTCTGCAGTTTCTTTGCAGGTTGGCCAACACTCTGGAAATCTATTCAAGGACATTTCCTATTTACTCACTGCTAGGGAATCTTCTGGGGCCCTCCCTACCAGACATCAATGAAAGTGCTTCATCTCAACTGCAACTGTATGCATTGTATCTGGCATGGTTTGTTCCACCGTATCAAATACAGGCATTTTTCTTGCTAGTAGGTACATACCATGGCAGCCAGTACCAGCTCCCACTCGACTACATTGATTTTTGTTCCTTGCATCATCATACACCATATTCATAAATGGCCACCACGTGGAGCGACCTGGACTTGATAGCATGGAAGCGAGGCTGGAAAGGCCTCCGCGTTGTAAACAACAAAGAAAAGATGGCGTCGTCTAGTCAAAGACAGCAATGTTTCTCTCACAGAGAACGACATTCCCAGGGCTTCTTTGGCTGGAAGAAACCCTTCATCCCTAAAAAATGAAGAACTGAAATTTTGGTTGAGGTGTCGTGGGATTCGCTTAAGGGCTCAAGACGAAAGCATGCCTCGTAAAATGGTGAGCGTATGCCATTGTTTTGATATGTGGCCGCAAAATTCTTGCATTAATAATTTCTGTTTTGATCATAGAGTCCAAGAATATATCAAGTCTGGTAGTGATAAAGTGGTGGTCGATCCAGATCCGGATAAGATATACACTAAACGGAAAAATCGGCTTTCAAAACTTCCGACCAATCGTTCCCCTGAATCTCCAGCCCCGAAATATCCAAGTGATGGCTGGGGAAATTCATTGGAAAGGATGCCTCATTTCACAAGGGCGGAGATGAACCAAGATATTGAAAGTTCTCGGAAAAGAGTTGGGAATGCGGATCATCATTGCATTCCAACAAACTTGAAGAAAGCAAAGACATTTTTAAAGGACGAGCACCTAAAAGACAACGAAGCAAACAGTGAGCAGAGGTATTTCTACCCGAGAGCGAAATGCCAACACAGTTTCAGTAAAAGAGATGCTCCCCATAGTCTGCGGTTTGCATTGTGCATCATTTCAGGGCAAGTTTTGCATGCTGTTCCTGTAAAGCTGGGAAAGTGGGTTACTGCAACCATGTTCTTGCTTTAATGTTTAAAGCCTGCAAGTTTAGCTTGTTTGACAGCCAGAAAACAGACCATTTAAACGATGATGATGATGAACAACCCGACTTAGCATGCACATCACAGCTCCAAAGGTGGGATAGACAGGCCATGGTGACAATATCTCCCCTCTGTAGGATTCCACATGCAAATTTTTATTTAAGCTTGCCATTTATGTATGCAAATTAGGACTATTTAAATGCTACGCTTTCCTAGCGCACCAATCTTTTCAATGTTTTCTCTAGCTTCAAGTTAATATTGTTGCAGAATCTATTCTACCTAGCTTCACTATCATCGCTACAGTTAGGAAACATTTTTAAGTCTTTATATTCTGTCCTGTATTTTTCATATTGCTCGGCTCTTCTTTACACGTATTTTTATTTATTTTTCTAGTCGAACCTCGCTCGCTCTATCTTTCAATTCTCAACGGGCTCCTCGAGTCTCTACAACAGAGCGTGAGTTCGAAATCTCTAGACGTAGCGTCAACAAGAACTGTAAGCTACACCCTCCACCAGTCATGGAAGTGAATGTTTCGAAAACCAAGCTGGATGAGACAAAGACCAGAGAAGGAGTCAAGTCACTGCTATATGAAGCCAGAGTTAACCCTAGTCATGAACTTCAGGCAGAAGAGAATTTGAAGGAGAAACTTCAAGCTATAAACTCACAAATGGATTTATCTCTTCTGGCCCAAGAAAGTTCATTACCCACCTTTGTCGAAACCCGATTTGGCCTAAGCCAGACTGGTTCATTTTGTAGTTACCAGCTGTCTCATACTGAAGCTAATTTTACTCCCACTATTGGCATCTCCTCAATCCCTCGACTAACTAACTCTACACCTACAGAACTGACCTACCCAAGATTTCCTTTGTCTACAATGGACACATTTGTGCTTCCTGACAACTTGGACAATACTGAGAAAGAATTCCTTCAGAAACTTGAAGTTGAGGAAATGATATCGACATCATTGAAGCTGCCACATGGGAGCAGTCCAACTCCGAGCACTGGAAAGAAGAGCGTAAATATCAATTTACAACTTCAAAATTTCACCTTATCAGTAAGACACAACGAAACCATGAAAAGTTTGCAGCTGATCTCATCAACCCAAAACCATTCTCTTCAAGGTGTGTAGAGCATGGACTGAAACATGAACTGATCGCATTAAAGGAATAGGAAAAAATCATGCTGACTCGAAAGACGCCAGTTAAGGTACTTAAGTGTGGTCCTGTTATTTCAAAAAGTGGCAATTCTTGCTGGATTCCCTGATGCGAGGGTTGTGGATTTTGGATGCAAGCGCCATTTTGGACTTGCCGAGGTCAAGAGTCCAGAAACTAAATATCATGTGACCCCCCTTTGGCACGAGCGTTTCGTTACTGGGCCCCTCGATCAAATTCAAGCCCGCGTTGCTAGTAAACAGCAGATAATTTTGAAGGAAATCTGCTGACCAAAATTGTGGGGGCTTCGAAGGAATGTGTAACATGTAAAATTCGATCTTTTCATCCATGTCGCTTGCGTGGTGTTTGTTTTTGTCACTTTTGCGAACAAGGTTGGTAAATGGCACTATTTTCTTTAGGGCAGAATGCATTATCGTTTTGGTTTTTGTTCCTGTAGGGTTTTTTATCTTCTTTCCACCTCCCGAAAGCAAAGTTTTCAATCAGCAAAGTGGCCTTTTCAGCGAGTAGCGACGTGCGTTCGATGAGTGTTTTGGTTTAGTGCCGTGAATGATACCTCTACTTCTAATCAGTTGCCACAGGCCGATTTCGTGTTTCAGAGTTGTCTTGCCTCAGCTAGAGTACATTCGTGGACTTTAAACTTGCTATCCAGCCCTTTTAGTCGAAAGGATGGCTACAAGTGTGGATTCGTTTGAAGAAAGCTTTGGCTATATGCGTTACTTGAACCACTCAAACTACAGCCCCCGATCTCTTCGACAAAGGATGTTTGCCTCCAATTTCTGCTATCTGGTGAAAGAATACATTTTTGTATGGAGTTAACACCCATTTAAAACTTTGTGAATGAAAGCTTATTTTAGTAGCTGGGAAAAGGATGACACCCTATCGCACAAGGTGGTCAGGTTTCCTATGTCAACAACAGGCGCCAGTGAAGCCCCCGAATGTTTGAAATTATAGCGGAGAATTGAGACAGTTGCCACAGGTGAGTTTTGACATTTGTTTTGGTAACTAATCATATTATTTAAATAAATCAAACATGGATCAACAGACGCCCCATGAGTTCACCTGGGTCGACTTAAAGATTGATCAATGTCGAGATTGTGGCGGAAAAGCATGCATTGCCTATTCGAAGAAAGCATACTTCATAACTTCTTTGATTTACCTTCAACGTTCTAATTGCTGTATATATCAATTGTCAAGTAATGCAATGTGTCTAAAGATTCTTCGCGTAATAATTTTTGAATTCTAGAAATAGAATCCATTCGAACTAGACGAACTAATACACGCCATTTTGCAGAAGTGTACAAAAAGCGCAGGAACTTTCCTGTCGCCGCAACGTGCGGGCACTCTTATTTACTGATCCATGTAAACCTCTTCCGGTGTCGAAGATGTCGAAGCGAAGGTATCATTTAAATTTGTTTTTGATTATAAATGAAACTTTTGGTAGTAGGTAACAATTTGTGTTTTCCACCTTCTTAAGAAATCCATACTTTCGCCGACCAGCCAAATTTGGTGAGCCAAAGGGCGTCGTTTTCAACGAAAATGAAGTTGAAAGGTACAAACTTGATCTGCATTTAAATCTTTTGTTTTGTAAGGTTACTGATTGAAACAAAACTTCATTGGTTAAATTTGATTATTTGGTCGTAAAATTTATCTCAGAACCCCAGAGGAAGAGGAGCGTGAACTTCAGGAAGAGTTGCAGAGGAGGGAGGAGCTTAAGGCGAACTGGGGAAAGAGAGAGAAAAAAAAATGTCAAAAAAAGAAAATCAATTTGTAAAAAAGAAAAACTTGTTTTTCTGTGCTTTTTAAACCTTGCGTTAGACCAGAATGTGTACCTTAATTACGTTTTGTTTAAGTTCATTACCATTTTTTTACGTGTGACATATCTTCTAAAACCAGCTTGATGTGTGTTTTCTTGGTTCCAGTTAGCAATGGCAACGATGGATGCTTCATGTATGGCTCAGTTCAAATTTACTTAATATCCACCAAGAATTGTTTATTTTAAAAAACAAAGGCAAATTAAATTTGATCCGAAGGTAAATTGAACGAGAACAGATATACATCTACTTTGTACTTAGTCACTGACCATTTTGTTATTGGCTTCTGATAAAGTTGTGAACTTTTTTATTTGTGAGGAGTGGTTACCTTTTGTTCTTTCCTAGTAAGTTGGCAACTGAGAAAGTTGGCAGCTAAAATAGTTCTGCTTCAAACAGTTAGCCAGGATAGCAAATTTTGCCTGCTTTTCTTACGGTCTTCTAAGGAAATAGTTTGGGGGCTAAACAGGTTATACACAATATAATTGCTATTTATGGGCTAAGGGTCTGTCTGTTTGGTGAAAAACTGTGACTGAGGTCTTGAAATGCTGCAGCACTTTCAAGTCAGAGGTTACAGTGTTTCACTTCACAGACCCACTCTAAGCTGGTAAAAAACAATTTTCGTTTTTTTCCCTTTCTCAATATTGTTGTCCTTTTCAACAAACACATCGGCTGCACGTTACCGTGACCATGGTCAGAAATAGGATAATCCAGACTTTGCTAAGAACCAATATCCGATTGCAGTATCTTTTACCCTACCCTCTTGAAAAAAAAACTTTATTTTACCCATTACAAAAAAAGAATTATTTAAAATATGCAATTGCATTACATGTACCATTAAATTAAACCCCAAATTTTAGTATAATTGTACTCTTAATCAGTTGTACATTGAATGATGTTCTTACTTTTGTTCACATGGGTTGATTAGCAATGAATTTGCCAACGAGTTAACAATACAGTGTACATTAACAAAATTCACTGTTATGGAAATCAACCACATTGGTATGTAGAAAATTAATGTTCTCTACCAGATCTTTAGGCATACAGCCAACATCTTTGTAATAATTGGTTTCACTGAAACCAAATTAAGCCTCCCACTGTAGGTACTAGCTCAATTAATGGCAATCTGTAACTCATGGCCACAAACAAATTGAATTCTATCTGCGTAGCATTGACTTTAATAATTTAAAGCTTCACAGAAGTTCCTCAATTCAAACTGAAAACTTTCCAGACTACAGAAAGGCAAACCTTCCAGCATGAAACTTGCTGCTCATCACACATGCAAGAATCGTGATTTTGAAAAGTTGTTCCTAACATGTATATCTGGTGCAACTGTAAATTGATCGCCGCATCGACATGTTTACACATACTCCAGCTAGACAAAAACTGCCCTGAAGCCCTTTTGTTCCCTCCTATATTTTCTCTTTTAGTTCAATTTCAGGTGAAATGTAAATTACCTAATTACAATATTTTTAACCTCAGCAAACCCAACAAACTCTATAGTTGTCTAGTTAAATACATGTATCTAAATTGTCTTTTTTTGTCAATTTTGCATTTTTATTAATACACTTTGTTTGGTACCCTGAAATTTATTTTGGATATTTGTAGTATTGGTTTCATTCTCTCTCTCATCAAGAACCAATGACAATGGTTATGCCAGATTTTCAGGGGTCAACAAAATTTGTGATAGGAAATGTGAAAGTGGCATATTATTTAAATAATATTTTGTTGTCAAAGAGTTTTAATTAAGGGCCCATTTTCTTCCTTTGTGGTGGCATGGTGTTCTCATGCTTAGTGTGCTTGCCTCCGCATTGAGCAATCCAGGTTTGAGCTTGGCTAGTGACTATGTGTTTTGTTGGGTTAACTCTCACACAGAGAGATCCTCGCCCATGTGTATAAATAGGTACCAGAGAATTTAATGCTTGGCGGTAGCGCAGTTCAAAAGAGAAACAAACAACCATGTTACATCAAGGATGAAAATGGGCCATTAAGTTTGACACTACAAACAGTTGTGATTGTTCTTATTCTTCATGAAGAACTAGCTTGCCCTGGTTTCTCTTTCTAGGCTTGTTGAAGTTGGTCAACGTAGATTGGCTTTGGAGCCACTGACTTTTGGCCACCAGTGCCAGGCGATCACAGGTGTTCTGTGTTGTTGCGTACATCCTGTCGAGCTTGTTGACCACTGGGTGGATGCTTTCTGAGCAGTGCTCCGCTTCCATTCCAACAGTCCCCATTAAGATGGCTTTCTCAGGAACGTGGAATGTGAGAACGTGGAATTTCCTAAGCAGGTTGGTTTTAGGGAAGTTTATTGGAAACCAGTGGCCAAAGCTAGCACATCTTGCTCCCAGAATAGCAACTTCATGAGGGCACAGAGGAGTACTTGCTGAGTAAAGTTTGAAACATTGGGACAATTTGGTGAGCAGAGTTGATATTTTGCTCATAAGTTTGTGGTCGCTAAAGACCTGCTTTTCCCCATGTTTGAGTTTGATTTCAATTGGCTTGAAGATGTGAACAATTTGTTTGATGTGAATGGGTTGTAGAATTTTTGCAACGTCATTGCCAACCAAAGCGCCCTTGTGATAAATCTGACGCTTCAAGTTCATTTCATCCAAAGTGTTATCAAATTTTGTTTGGAAAGGCCCCTTCATGACGTTGATTTTCTGATTGATGTGTGCCAGTTCATCTTGGGCTGCCTTGAACTGTTGCTGATGTTGTCTACCTTTTTCCTGCTGCTTATCCCTGGTTCTTCTAAGTTCCCTTGCCTTTTCCCTAGCCTTCACTGCCTCCACTGTGTGATTTGTAAACCTGTTAAGTTGAAATAAATATATTTGTAGTCCTTAATTCAGACATTGTTTGACTTTCACATGCAGTGCATAAGAATTTTATTTTAACAATCATTCATAGCAGAGACCCAGATTTTAAGGTCTGTCTTAAAATACTCTGAGTATGATTTCTAAGAAGTTCAAAGATTGGAACAAAAGTTTTAGTACATCCTTTTTTGATGCAATTCTTTTATGAAGCAACCTTATTTTAGACTCGTATTTAAGTGGGGCATATTTGGGCGGATGAGGTAATGGGTTCCTGTACACTCCTGAGCTGAATATTCATTGTGAAGCAGAGATCATGCAAAAATGATGTAAGAAGGGTATTGAATACATGTAGCATGCAATATGAACCTCCCAAGCTACAGGTGTGTGAGGTAGTTTTATTGTTTTAGAACTTTATACAACCTACAGGTATTTTAACAAATCTGGTTTTCTTGTTCTGGGAAATACAAATGTAGCCCTATCGATTGCAACACCAAAGTTTTTTTAGTTTTATTTTCCTTTTTGAAATTCTAGTTAAGCTTTGTACTTCCCTATAAACCTATATAGATTTTTGAAACTGCATATTGTTTTTCAGATATCATTTGGAGTGACCTTAGTACCTTCTGCCTTCCTTTTGATGGAATGCTGCTGTTTCATTTAAGAATGACTGAAGAACATCTTCTGCATTACTAATAGCTTCATTAATTTCTTCCAACTGCTGATGCTGTTGAAGGCACTCAAGGTTCAAGGTTTCTCTTCTTTGGAATGCTTCTGCCAGTTCTGGGCATGCCTCTCCATCTGCCTCTTTAATGGTCTTGTCTAAAANTGTGACATATCTTCTAAAACCAGCTTGATGTGTGTTTTCTTGGTTCCAGTTAGCAATGGCAACGATGGATGCTTCATGTATGGCTCAGTTCAAATTTACTTAATATCCACCAAGAATTGTTTATTTTAAAAAACAAAGGCAAATTAAATTTGATCCGAAGGTAAATTGAACGAGAACAGATATACATCTACTTTGTACTTAGTCACTGACCATTTTGTTATTGGCTTCTGATAAAGTTGTGAACTTTTTTATTTGTGAGGAGTGGTTACCTTTTGTTCTTTCCTAGTAAGTTGGCAACTGAGAAAGTTGGCAGCTAAAATAGTTCTGCTTCAAACAGTTAGCCAGGATAGCAAATTTTGCCTGCTTTTCTTACGGTCTTCTAAGGAAATAGTTTGGGGGCTAAACAGGTTATACACAATATAATTGCTATTTATGGGCTAAGGGTCTGTCTGTTTGGTGAAAAACTGTGACTGAGGTCTTGAAATGCTGCAGCACTTTCAAGTCAGAGGTTACAGTGTTTCACTTCACAGACCCACTCTAAGCTGGTAAAAAACAATTTTCGTTTTTTTCCCTTTCTCAATATTGTTGTCCTTTTCAACAAACACATCGGCTGCACGTTACCGTGACCATGGTCAGAAATAGGATAATCCAGACTTTGCTAAGAACCAATATCCGATTGCAGTATCTTTTACCCTACCCTCTTGAAAAAAAAACTTTATTTTACCCATTACAAAAAAAGAATTATTTAAAATATGCAATTGCATTACATGTACCATTAAATTAAACCCCAAATTTTAGTATAATTGTACTCTTAATCAGTTGTACATTGAATGATGTTCTTACTTTTGTTCACATGGGTTGATTAGCAATGAATTTGCCAACGAGTTAACAATACAGTGTACATTAACAAAATTCACTGTTATGGAAATCAACCACATTGGTATGTAGAAAATTAATGTTCTCTACCAGATCTTTAGGCATACAGCCAACATCTTTGTAATAATTGGTTTCACTGAAACCAAATTAAGCCTCCCACTGTAGGTACTTGCTCAATTAATGGAAATCTGTAACTCATGGCCACAAACAAATTGAATTCTATCTGCATAGCATTGACTTTAATAATTTAATGCTTCACAGAAGTTCCTCAATTCAAACTGAAAACTTTCCAGATTACAGGAAGGCAAACCTTCTAGCATGAAACTCGCTGCTCATCACACATGCAAGAATCGTGCTTTTGAAAAGTTGTTCCTAACATGTATATCTGGTGCAACAGTAAATTGATAGCCACATCGACATGTTTACACATACTCCAGCCAGACAAAAACTGCCCTGAAGCCCTTTCCTCCTATATTTTGTCTTTTAGTTCAATTTTAGGTGAAATGTAAATTACCTAACTACAATATTTTTAACCTCAGCAAACCCAAAAACTCTATAGTTGTCTAGTTAAATATCTAAATTTTCTTTTTTTTGACAATTTTGCATTTCTATTAATACGCTTTGTTTGGTACCCTGAAATTTATTTTGGATATTTGTAGTATTGGTTTCTTTCTCTTTCTCATCAAGAACCAATGACAATGCTTATGCAAGATTTTCAGGGGTCAACAAAATTTGTGATAGGAAATGTGAAAGTGGCATATTATTTAACTAATATTTTGTTGACAAAGTGTTTTAAGGGCCCATTTTCTTCCTTTGTGGTGGCATGGTGGTGTCATGTTTAGTGTGCTTGCCTCCACATTGAGCAATCTGGGTTTGAGCTTGGCCAGTGACTATGTGTTTTGTTGGGTTAACTCTCACACAGAGAGATCCTCGCCCACGTGTATAAATAGATACCAGAGAATTTAATGCTTGGAGGTAGTGCAGTTCAAAAGAAAAACATACAACCATGTTACATCAAGGATGAAAATGGGCCTTTAAGTTTTACACTACAAACAGTTGTGATTGTTCTTATTCTTCATGAAGAACTAGCTTGCACTGGTTTCTCTTTCTAGGCTTGTTGAAGTTGGTCAATGTATATTGGCTTTGGAGCCACTGACTTTTAGCCACCAGTGCCAGGCAATCACACGTGTTCTGTGTTGTTGCGTACATCCTGTCGAGCTTGTTGACCACTGGGTGGATGCTTTCTGAGCAGAGCTCCACTTCCATTCCAACAGTACCCATTAAGATGGCTTTCTCAGGAACGTGGAATGTGAGAACGTGGAATTTCCTAAGCAGGTTGGTATTAGGGAAGTTTACTGGAAACCAGTGGCCAAAGCTAGCACATCTTGCTCCCAGAATAGCAACTTCATGGGGGCACAGAGGGGTACTTGCTGAGTAAAGTTTGAAACATTGGGACAATTTGGTGAGCAGAGTTGATATTTTGCTCATAAGTTTGTGGTCGCAAAAGACCTGCTTTTCCCCATGTTTGAGTTTGATTTCAATTGGCTTGAAGATGTGAACAATTTGTTTGATGTGAACAGGCTGCAGAATTTTTGCGACGTCATTGCCAACCAAAGCGCCCTTGTGATAAATCTGGCGCTTCAAGTTCATTTCATCCAAGGTGTTATCAAATTTCGTTTAGAAAGGCCCCTTCATGACGTTGATTTTCTGATTTATGTGTGCCAGTTCATCTTGGGTTGCCTTGAACTGTTGCTGATGTTGTCTACCTTTTTCCTACTGCTTATCCCTGGTTCTTCTAAGTTCCCTTGTCTTTTCCCTAGCCTTCACTGCCTCCACTGTGTGATTTGTAAACCTGTCAAGTTGAAATAAATAAATTTGTAGTTCCTAATTCAGACATTGTTTGACATTCACATACAGTGCATAAGAANTGCCTCCACTGTGTGATTTGTAAACCTGTCAAGTTGAAATAAATAAATTTGTAGTTCCTAATTCAGACATTGTTTGACATTCACATACAGTGCATAAGAATGTTATTTTAACAATCATTCATAGCAGAGATCCAGATTTTAAGTTCTTTCTTAAAATACTCTGAGTATAATTTCTAAGAAGTTCAAAGATTGGAACAAAAGTCTTAGTGCATCCTTTTTTGATGCAGTTCTTTTATGAAGCAACCTTATTTTAGTCTCTTATTCAAATGGGGCACATCTGGGTTGATGAGGTAATGGGTTCCTGTACACTCCTGTGCTGAATACTCATTGTGAAGCAGAGATCGTCCAAAAATGATGTAAGAAGGGTATTGAATACATGTAGTGTGCAATGTGAACCTCCCAAGCTACAGGTGTATGAGGTAGTTTTATTGTTTTAGAACTTTATACAACCTACATGTATTTTAACAAATCTAGTTCTCTTGTTCTGGGAAATAGCCCTATCGATTGCAACACCAAAGTCTTTTAGTTTTATTTTCCTTTTTGAAATTCTAGTTAAGCTTTGTACATTCCTTTAAACCTCTTCAGCCAGTCAATTTCTTGAAGTGGATATAGATTTTTGAAACTGCATATTGTTTTTCAGATGTTATTTGGAGTGACCTTAGTACCTTCTGCCTTCCTTTTGATGGAATGCTGCTGTTTCATTTAAGAATGACTGAAGAACATCTTCTGCATTACTAATAGCTTCATTAATTTCTTCCAACTGCTGATGCTGTTGAAGGCACTCAAGGTTCAAGGTTTCTCTTCTTTGGAATGCTTCTGCCAGTTCTGGGCATGCCTCTCCATCTGCCTCTTTAATGGTCTTGTCTAAAACAAGAGCTTCATTTTCAACAATTTCTAATGCTTGCTTTCCAAGACCAAGAGATAGATGGAGGGGCATGCATGACACAGACTCAATGACAGGTCCAGAAAAGATTGGAAGATTGGTTTGGACATCGGTTTGCTTTAGCTTTGACTGAACCACCATTTACAAAATCTTTGTTATCGGATGACATTGATTCAAAGCTGCGAGGAGAAAACTGTTGTAAGCGATTGCCATTGGAGGTACTATTCAAAATCCAGGGTGTGTGTGGCTTGCCCTTCTCGAGATCTTTAATTGTGGCATGACATTAGTTGCAGAAGTACGTGCCATTTGGACCTGTTAGACCTAAAAGCCTTGCAATAAATTCCCAGTCTCCTCCCAAACTCAGCCAGCATTTAGTTATACAGCACTCCATTCTTGTACCATTGTAACTCTGCAAAGTTGATGTTTCACATGTTGAACCAGTTAGTTTCTTGCAATAGAGACAGTGTTCACTACAATGGTCACTCTCGGGATTTTGGATAAGCTGCTGGAGCTCCATTGGCCAATTTTGCATCCCTTTGATTTCAAAAACTTGTTTCTCATTTGCTTTGGTACAGGCACTTGCACATTTTGGCAGATCCACCTTTAAGTTAAGTTCTGAAACGTTAGCCAAGACTTTTTGTGTCACCTCAATAATTGGACCAAAAACCTCTTTAATGCACTCGTAATTGTCTTTGTCCCCTTCAAAAATTGCCTGTAGGCGGGCAGTATGAACTGAGTGTTGCTCCCTGCAGTTGAGAAATTGCAATAACAATTTGGTGGATTTTCCTCCCTTGTCACCAGAGAGAAGTGCCCATAAAACATTTTCAGGAATGTTGCTTTTCTTCATAAGCAGACTGCCTTCATTCAGTTGAGCCACAGTTTTGGCAATTACATCAGAGGTATTTGTCACTCGAACAAAGGACACTTTCTTCCCAGAAGAACTTTCAAAACTTCCACATTCATATTGAAATTCCATGGACTTCAAGTGGCTGCGAATTTTCTTCTCTGAACCAAATATGTCATATCCTACAGATTAATGAAAGGGCAGACCTATGAGAGGGTTTATATGCTTAGGTGAAACTATAGAATCAACAGCACTTTGTCAGTTTGGTGTCTTGAAAGTGTACCGGATTCCTGGTAAAAAGTCTTAACTATTGTTTCTGTGAAAAAGTGCAAATCCAGTTCTAGCCCTTCCACTTCAAGATCTGAACTTGTCCTGAAAATTTGGTGTTATGTCAAGACTATATACCCTGGCTGGTTTTCTTTTTTTCAATTCTCTATACCTGCCTACATGGCATTGTAAAATTGTTAAAGAGAATAATTTAATATACTTATTTCTCCTGGGAGTGAAACGATTTAAAGCAAACATAAGTACATGTATATTGGAAGAGCCCATTTTTTTTTCTACTTTCAGGAAACATATTATTTGTACTGTACTTGTGCTTGTCATTATCTTTTTATATGAGTTTTGTACACTACCTGCATTAGGTTTACCTTGACATCGCACCTATATTAAACAATTAGATTATGAGCTCGAGATTTCTATCGCATGATAGTCAATGGGCCAAAGGCCGAGCCAACTATCACACATAGAAATCGAGAGTGAATACATGTAATCTAATTGTTTTAGTATAAATCTACTAGTTGTTCAAAACTTTATCCAAGTCCTCTTCAGAGACACTCCAAAAATGTCAAGAAGCGGCCGTCATTTTGAAACAAGGGTGCACTGCTATGCTACTCACTCTATCACAGAATATATAGTGAGTAGCATAGCCAATCAGAGAACAGCATTCATGATAGAACACTGGTAGATTTATACTAATAGTTTTTAGGTAGTGTACAATGTAGATAAAGTTACTTTGCTTTTCTCACTTCTGTATTGGCATTGTTGAAATAGCAATGAATGATGTACATGCCTGTTTAAATGATGTTAGATAGATAAAGTGTGTTGTTTGTATACAACTATGCTTACCAAGTGCTTCTTTGAAGGTTCTTTTAATCATTTTCAACATTTCCATGGGCATGTGAGTCTTAAGTTCTGCAACCTAAAAAATGAAAGCTGCTTTTAATTTATTAGAGACATGGCCTTTGTGTATAACAAGTTTTGCTTTTGAAGTCAGTGACTTTTGTCTAGATTCTGCAGGTGATGTATTTTATAAACTGGTTGACAGAACTTTTGATTGTCTCATGCACTAGTGCCATATTGTTATTCTATTTTTTTTATTGATATAATAAATTATTGATTATACATAATGTAAATTTAATCATTGAGAGTGTAGATTTTACCTGGTTCAAAGTGAATGACTGTATGATGTTTACTCCACCTTCCTTAAATGAATTGATGAACTGTTGTTGTTTTCGGCGAATAGAAATGGCTGTCTGGTGAATTACATCATTTTCTGCTGTACTTGTACATGTACTTGGTGATGACAAATTTTCTGCAAGTTTTTCGATGACCTGGCTTCTCTTTTTCAATGTACTGGCAGATGCACTTGAGCTACCTATTTGTGGCTGACTAACTCTAAGTAACTTCATTGGTTTCCCTCTCTCTTGATGGGCATACACAAAGCCGTCTTGACTTTGCCCAGTCTTCTTTTTGAGAATGCTCAAAAATACCTTTTGGAGGTAAACAAATTTTGGATTAACAATCATAATGATTTTATGTAATAAAGACATGTAGCTATATTGGGTTTGTGAGAATTGCTCACTTAACGTTTGATAGCTTTTTTTTTTTGGCTGAAAATATTTTTCAACAGATGGCACAATGCCAAGTCCAATGTTTAGATATTGTGTAGCTTCTGCCTAGATTCACTTTATTGATTTGCTCTTCCTTACATTATCAGCATGATTTCTCACTAAGATTGTATCACTCATTTTTAGATAGCTCCTGTTGAATTTTCAACATTTCCTGTACATGTGTATGATGTCAAACGAGTACATTCTGTCCCATGGGGTAATTCTTTGTTTTGTTGGGGAAGACTGAAGTTGTGTGGTGTGCGGACCGCCGAGGAAACAGTAAGAACCAATATTATCCGTGTTTCCATCAATAAGTTCTCATTTCTGTACATAAAAGCTTCAGAAGCTGTTCATGAATCCCAGTTTGGGGATGTGACGTGGATTTCTTTATCAAACATTTGAGTTAAGGCCTATTTTGATAACATTTCGACTTCGTTTGTTGATAGACAAAATGTCCGCGCGTGAAACTTCGTCCATATCTTTTAAAACAAGCATTTCTAACAGAAGCTTGACACCCAGATTACCCTCTATGGAGAGTCTAATGAACGGAGTAACAAGGCCAGATGCCTTCCTTCTTTTAGTTTCTCACAAATTTGAGATAACGTATATGTAAGAATTGAAATAATTTGACGGTAGCTATCCGCAACAAAGTCGATGACGCATATCCTGTCCACAAATACCTATAAAACCAATTTTTACCCCAGCAACTTATCTGTCTCAACTGTGGACTTGGGTATTACAATATCATTCAGTTCAATTGTACAATATTAAAAGGTTGTGTGATTTATATGCTGTAGCCGCTCTGCGTGCAATAGACTGATGAAATTTAATTTACCTGCTCTTGTAGTTTGGTGACTGGCGTTCTTGGATCTTGATCATTCTGGAGTGATTGAAGCCTTGCTTTTAGGTTGCTTAAGCGATGTTGGGCAACTTGGTTTTCCTCCAAAAGTTTTATTTCCTTTGAAGCGAGCTCTTTAGCACGGTCGGAAATCGCCGCATGATGACCTTCCCACGAGCGTTTAGACTTGAAGAGAACTTTGTAAGAAAGAAAAGAGTTGGAAAGAACTGTTTCGTCGAGATCACTTAGCTGTTCGGGGAAGTCGCGTCTTAACAAGAGTTTCCAGAGGATGTTGAACTGGCAAATTTGATTTGCATAGCTGCAAGTCTGTCGCAGCCTCGAAACGTCTGACACGCTGAGAAACCCAGCGATAAACAAAAACAAGTCTTCGGGCAAAGTCACAAGAAGCGATAACTCATGGGAAGGCGAAGTGCTTCGCAGTAACGCAGTCTTGCGATTTTTCCGAGCTACTGTCGATTTGTTAATACAGGGTTGTCCTCTTGAATTAACTGAAACGAAATATTTGCTGGCGTTTGTTGGGCATTCACGCCACCGAGTTAAATTTCGTCTACACGAAGCACATAGGTCCTCCTGGCTTTCAATTTCTTCGACGTTGAAGCATTTACGTACATCTTCGACGATTTCCTCAGAAATACGGAACCAACGGGAAGTTGTTTTGCTGTTACAAACGTAACATTTCCGTGAAGACATTTCACCACGCAAGTTTCCCAAACAAAACAATTAATGGGCTTTAAAGTTAAAAATAACCCCTTGATTTTATTTGCAACATTCGTCACGCTAACAAATTTCCCGCCAAAAGGCGCGCCTGGCATTTTGTGCGTGCGCATAGTTTTTTACATTTTCATGCTGCCATACAAAAGAACAGACCGCCGTCTTTAAGCTGCCCGGGCGGAACGCTCGTGGCCGATGCTCTCTCGGCTATCAATGTCATGTCACAGGTACCCCAACATGGAATCACCAACTCGCGTGTCACTATAGCTTTCCAAGGACAAGAGACTCAGCGATGACTCTCTGAGATTCTCGACAGGTCAAGACAAAAAGAGATAATTTTACGACTATGCTATAGAGAAAGTTTTT